AGGCTGGGAAGGGATGGGAAGGGTAAACAAAGGAGGAGGCTGCAATGCTTGGTAAGAAATGTACGTATTATCCTGCCCATGCAATTGTAACCCCTCTGTACAGTATGTTCACAAATAAAATAAAATAAAATTTAAAAAAAAAAAAAAAAAAGGGGAAAGTGGAGCTAAGCTCAAGTGGCAGATGACCAGCTATGAGCAAAAAAAGCTAAGAGAGAGTAAGAGGCCCTGAGTAAAGCATACAACAAACCATCAAAAATTTTAAAGCCCAATTTGTAGAGCTCTAACTAGCAACAGAGCTCTACTTTTGCAGAACCTTTGAGAAACAAGTATGCTTCTTGGCTGGGCCTGGGCTATTTCTTCACCACTGCTAAACTAGCGCAGCTCCCAGTCCACCACCCTGAAGTCTCGCCAGCCTCGCCAGCCTCTCCAGTAGAGACTTGGGGGGTGGACACCGCCTGGCCATAAAGCTTGCCAGTGCCCAGCATGGCTGGGACAATGAATCTGCACACTGTAACCTGCTTCCCTTCAAGTTTTACTCAAAAGTAAACTTCGACACTGCTTCTTTGAAACTGGAAGGTCAGAATGAATTTGGCTTTGTGCTTGGAAAAACTCTGCTAAAAGCTAACAGAAGCTGAGTGCCAGTGGCTCACCTCCATAATCCTAGCTACTCAGAAGGCTGAGATCTGAGGATCAGATTCAAAGTCAGTCCAGGCAGGAAAGTCCATGAGATTTTTTATCTCCAAGTAAGAGAGTGGAGCTGTGGCTCAAGTGGTAGAGTACTAGCTTAAAAAAAAAAAAAAAGCCAAACTGGAAGTATAGCTTTTATAGTAGAGTGCCAGCACTGAACCAAAAAGGTTAAGTGAGAAATCAAGGCCCCGAGTTCAAGCTCCAGTACCAGAACAAAAGGAAGGAAGGAGAGAGGGAGGAAGGGAGAGCAGGAGGAAGGGGGGAGGGGGCGGGAGGGAGGGACTCTTCTATAAATAGGATGAGGGAAAATGTTCTCTATAATCAATCTGTAATGACAACAAACTGACCTCCACCGATGATCCCATTTTACACTTCCAAATAGCCTGAGGGGTGAGGTGAGGGACAGAGGCTGGGGAGTGGCTGGCTGTCAACTACAACACAGTCACCCCATGTTCCAGCCCACATCTCATGTCCTTGTCTTAGTCCTGGTAATCCTTAAGCAGAAGTGGTTCACAGTTGCCTTGGCAACCCAAGGATTTAAGACCAAGGAAAGTACACAGCCAAAATCACTTGTTGGATTCTGAAAACACCTTCTGCTCACTGACTGCATCTGAAACCTAGCCACAGGCTCTGGAAACCTTCTACTTCCTTACAGGCCTATCCAGGCCCCAACGGTCCCCTGTATGTGACTGGCAGGCATGCACTGGGGCGTGGGACAAGCGGGGGGGGGGGGGCTCCTCTCTCCCTGGACGCCAGCGGCTTCCTTTGCCTAATCACTTCAGAGCATGCTACGGAGGAGCTAATGCTTTGCAGTTCTGGTCCACACTGGTGCAAGATTGCACAATTGGGAGCCGACGGCATGTTACTGTCCCTGTCACCTGTCCCTGGAACAGCTAGCAGAGAAACCAATGAATGCGCGTCCCTCAGCTGGGAACACTTTTGATTCCCTTCAGCCTTGATGGGTAAGGAGCTGCCCTGGGACTAGTCATGGGGAAGGCTAGCACTCCTGGCACTTTGTAGGGAGAGGCCAGTAATGCTGCTGAACGTCTTGTAGTACCCAGGGTGACCCAGGAAGAATCACCCAGCCTGGCCGGGTGCTGGTGGCTCACGCCTGTAATCCTAGCTACTCAGAAGGCTGAGATGTGAAGACTGTGGTTTGAAGCCAGTCTGGGCAGGAAAAGTCCATGAGATTCTTTATCTCCAATGAATCACCAAAAAGCCAGAAGCAAAGCTGTATCTCAAGCGGTAGAGTACTAGACATGAGCAAAAAAGCTCAGGGACAGCACTCAGGCCCCAAGTTTGAGTCCCAAGACTGGAACAATTGTTTAAACCCTGCCCAAGGTGGAGAAAGCTTGAGTTAAGCCAACTTTTGTGGTAATACAGAGAGAACTCAGGTGCTTGCCCTTGTTGGCTGCTCCGCCACTGGGCCCGGCTCTCACACCTTCCTCTTTAGCTTTATTTTTTGGTAGCCTCTTGTACATTTTTGCCCAGGGCTAGCTTCCCATCATTGCCTCCCATGTAACTGGATACGGACAGGAACCACCATTCTTGTCCTTAAAACAACTTCCAGTGAACTTGAAGGAGTCTGGCCCTGGCATCAATGGCTCAGTGCCCAGGACAAAGAGAATGGAAATGTTTAAGGAAAGCAACAGTGTTTCAAAGAGGGACCTGGAGGTACTCTTTAATAGGAAAAGTTTCTGTTGGGAAAGATTAAAAAATTCTGAAGATAGACAGTAATGACAGTCACACAATGTCAATGTATTTAGTGCCAGAATATTTAAAAATATTTAAGCTAGGTTCTGGTAATGTACTCCTGTAATTCTACCTACTCAAGAGGCTGAGATCTGAGGATCTCAGTTCAAAACCAGCCCTGGAAGACAAATCCTCGGGACTTTTAATCTACAATTAACCAGCAAAAAGCTGGCAGAGCTGTTGTGGCTCAAGCGGTAGAGCACTAGCTAAGACACAGTGTGAGACTTTGAGCTTCACTCCAGAACCACACGAGAACAACCACAAGCGTGGCTCATGCCTGTCTCTCAAGAAGCTGAGATCTGAGGATCACGGTTCAAAGCCAGCCCCGGCAGTAAATTCATGAGATTCTTATCTCCAATTAACTACCAAAAACTCAAAAGCAAAGGTGAGTCTCAAGCAGTATAGTGCTAGACTTGAGTTAAAAAAAAAAAAAGTTTAGGACCAAGCACCGGTGGCTCATGCTTGTAATCCTAGCTACTCAGGAGGCTGAGATCTAAGGTTCGTGGTTCAAAGCCAGCCCGGGCAGAAAACTCCCGGGGACTCTTATTTCCAATAAACTACTCAAAAAAGCCAGAGTGGCACTGTGGCTCAAGAGGTAGGTGCTCACCTTGAACAAAAGAAGCTCAGGGACAGTGCCCAGGCTCAGAATTCAAGCTCCAGGACCAGAAAAACAAAAATAAAAAAACAGTAAACAGTTGTGCGCTGGTGGCTCACGCCTGTAATCCTAGCTATTCAGGAGGCTGAGATCTGAGGATCATGGTTCAAAGCCAGCCCAGGCAGGAAAGACCGTGAAACTCCTATCTCCAATAAACCACTAGAAAACCGGAAGTGGCGCTGTGGCTCAAGTGGTAGAGCGCTCGCCTTGAGCTGAAGAGCTGAGGGACAGCGCCCAGGCCCAGAGTTCAAGCCCTGCAACTGACCAAAAAATAAATAAACAGCTTAGGGACAGCATCTAGGCCCTGAGTTCAAGTCCCAGGACTGGCACCAAAAAACAAAAAAGCTACAGCATATGAAGGTGTGGTGTCCCTGAGAGTCCGGAGCCTGAGGAGCTGCTCCTGCCATGCCATGCCTGGCCCCTGAGACGCCCCGTCAGGCAGAAGGGACCAGGACCCCAGCCTATCACCAACCTGCCGCAGAAGCTCTCCAAACAGGCATAGGCCGCCCTCCCCAGACCACCACACAGTGCCCTTGAGATCTCCAGCGTTTTCAGAAGCGAGGACCTCCATGGCTGGCTGCCTTCTGCCTCCTGCTGTGTGCTCCTGACTATATAACTAACATTACTATCTCGCTAGTTCTGGAGCTTGAACACAAGACTTCCCACTTACACTCAGCTTTTGTGCCCACCCCTTGAGCCACACCTGCAGCCCAGCTTTTTGCTGGTTAATTGGAGATGGAATCTTGTGGCCTTTCTGTCTGAGTTGACTTAAACTACAGGCTTCCAGATTTAGCTTCCTGAGTAGTTGGGGTTACAGGCATGAGCCACCATGCCTGACTTTTCCCTCACTTACTTTTTTTTTTTTTTTGCCAGTCATGGGGCCTGAACTCTGGGCCTGGCCGCTGTCCCTCAGCTCTTCAGCTCAAGGCTAGCGCTCTACCACTGGAGCCACAGCGCCACTTCCGGCTTTTTCTGTTCATGTGGTGCTGAGGAATCGAACCCAGGGCCTCATGCTTGCAAGGCATACACTCTACCACAGAGCCACCTTCCCAGCCCTCCCTCACTTACTTCTAACCTTTGTTCTAGAAGGATTCCCGCACCAGCCTGACTGACTGCCTTCCCCTGACCGGAATGGAGGCCAGGCCCCAGAGGAAGAGCCACATGGGCCTCAGAGGACAGGAAGCTTGCTGCTGCAGGCCTCTCAGCGGGGCCCAGGAAAAGCCGTAGTCTAGAAGGTGCTCAGAACCTGGTATTCAGCGAGCACTTTGTTTTCTTGATGCTCGGACAGGAAAGGCAGATACCCACCACGATACTTGGTCCGTGAGGACCAGGTCCCGCACACCAGGCTTAGCTCTCCCAAACACTGCAGTTGTGAAGGATGGAAGGGAGGAGACACTCTGTTTCCGTACAGCAGGAGTGAGCACCGTGCCTGTTAGTGTGAACACAGAACTCATGCTTGCTGGTGAAAGCCACATACTGACCCCTTACCGAGAGGCTGTTTTCTAACAGAACATTCCAGCTGATGCAGGCTAAGGGCTGAGCTTAAGCATGATGGGGACCACTGGCAGAAGCCTGGGCCAGGGAACCTAGCAGACAGCCCCTCTGGGAACCAGGAAGGCTACGCGTGAAGAGGCCAGGGAGACCTCAAGCACTGTTCCGGCGAGAGACCCACAGCTGGTGCCCTTGGCAAGAGGAGCCCCAGCTGGCAGCCTCTGCATGTCCATGAGGAGGACAGGAGAGCAGCCTAGGCACGTGGGCCACAGTCACCGTGGTCCCACCAATTTACCAGAGAAGGGGGGTGCAAGAGGCCACCAGCATGAGCCTGGCATGCCCACTTTACCCACAAGGCCGCGGACACCAGTCCCTGGGGGAGCCACACCCCGCCTGGCTCAAATGAAGGGCTTACTTGAGTCCTGGCTGCTGAAGGGCCATCCTGCTGAGGGGAGGAAGGAGGGCACCGGGGAGCCGGGGCGGCTGTCAGCCTCCACCCGCGGTGTGATGTGCCGCACGGTGTCCTTGTTCTTCCGATTCTTCCTCCGGCCGGAACCCTGCTCTGAGAGAGAGTTCTGAATCGCACTGTCCTTGGCGGAAGGCAGCTCACTCTCTCCATAATGAGATGGAGAAGTCTGCTCTTCCTTGATGTGCAGAGACCCATAGGCCACATCTCCAGGCCAGAGGGATGGAAAAGCCACTTCCTCGGGGCCGTCAGCCTTGGGTTCCTGGTCCTCCTTCCCGTGGCTGCTCCCTCCTTCATGGCAGCTGGCGATGGCCGAGTCTCCAGAAGAATTGGCTGGGCTGGTTCGCCGAGCCAGCCACGGGGAGATGCTCCTCCCAGCCATGACGGCTGAGATCAACGCCTCTGTGCTGCCACTGGCCGGGGCGCCAGCTTCGAACTCCGCGAGCTCCTCCGAGGCGTCCGACCTGATGCTGATGTCCAGCGCGGCTTTGATGAAGTCATGGCAAGCCTGCACAATGTCTGTCATTTGCAGGAAGCTGGCAGCGGACATCACCTCGATAACGTTCCTGCTGGTGAGGGCCAGGTGGGCGGAGTACATGAAGTCAATGATGGCCTTGAAGCCCTGGGCGGTGACGATGTCCAGGTGGGTGACTGTGGCCTGGTCGGACGTCTTCTGCACCTGGCAGTAGAGCGTTTTAAAGTAGCGGCTGCTCCCCAGCAGGACGTTCTTGTGAGCCCTGAAGACCTTCCCCTCCACCACCACACACGCGTCACACAGCACGCCGTGCCGCCGCTGCTCGTCCAGCTCTCGGAGCAGGTGCCGGTAATGGGACGCGATTTCCATATCTTCCTTCCGGTTGTTCATTTGGAAGTCTTGCTGTTGTTTCTTCTACAGCCTCTGGAGTGGGGAGGGAGAAGAGTTACCCACACAGGCAGTGAGACAGGGCAAGCCAGCTGAGGGAGAGTGCTGTGCACACACGAGGGTCTGCATCCTCCAGGGCCCACCCCAGCACAGGAATGGGCCACATGCTGACTCAAAGCCCAACCACAGAGCGCAGAGTGAGGAAGCACTGGACCTTGCAAACAACAGACAGGCCTGACCTTGTCCATGGAAAGACACCTGAACCCAGATCCTAAATTCAGAGTGGATATCGGACTCTGAGTGGAATCACACATACAACAGAAATAATACAATCACTCATCAGATAAAATTGCTCTCAATGGGCTGGGAAGATGGCTCAGTGGTAGAGGCTTGCCTTGCATGCCCGAGGCCTTGGGTTCGACTCCTTAGCACCACATAAACAGAAAAAGCCAGAAGTGGCACTGTGGCAAGTGGTTAGAGTGCTTATCTAGATCTGAAGAACTGAGGAACAGCACCCAGGCCCAGAGTTCAAGCCCCACCACCTACAAAAAACAACAACAACAAAAAATACCACTGTTGTTTGGCTGGGCACCAGTGGCTTACACCTGTAATCCTAGCTACTCAGGAGGCAGAGATCTGAGGATTGCAGTTCAAAGCCAGCCTGGGAAGGAAAGTCTGTGAGGCTCATCTCCAAAAAGCCACCAGAAAACCAAAAGTGGTGTTATAGCTCAAAGTGATAGAGCATTATTAGTCTTGAGCAAAAGATCTCAGTTATAGTGCCCAGGCCCTGAGTTCAAGCCCACAATGGAACCAAAAAAAAAAACAACACCCCACTTCCATATCCAGCTGAAAGTCTGGGTTAAACAATCCAACTTGATTTAACTCTCACATTTGAAGCAACACACTTCAGCCAGGCACCAGTGGCTCACACCTGTGATCTTACTCAAAAGACGGAGGTCTAGAATACTGAGGTTCAAAGCCAGCCCAGGCAGAAAATTCTGTGAGACTCTCTAATTAACCAGCAAATAGCTGGGTAGAGGTACCACTAGAGTGGCAGAGGACCAGCCAACAGCAAGAAAGACAAGTGTGGGGCCCTTGATTTCAGGCTCCAGCAGTAAGTATGAAAGCAAAAACAAAATACAAAAGCAGGCACTGGTGGCTCATGCCTAATACAAGCAAGGTGAGCTAGCACAGGTCCCTGAGCTCAAACCCCAATACCCCTCATAAGAGGAGAGCCGGTGGGCACTGCCAACCACAGCCAACCACCTACATCTTCACCAGATGAGGTCTCCACTCCTGGAAGAGTGATGTTCTGATGCCTAAGCTCAGCATGAGGTATTTGGCTACAGCTGCCCGGGAGGCCCATGCACCTAGCCTGCCTGCAACAAACACTATGTTCAGATGCCTGCACTCAGCAGAGAGCAACTAGGGCCTGCCGCTCCATCTCACCCAGAAAAATCCTTCAACCAACCCGGCACACCCCACAGCAGGAATCACCAACCCCGTATACCTCACAGCAGAATCACCAACCCAGTGTACCCCACAGCGGGAATCACCAACCCAATGTACCCCACAGCAGAATCACCAACCCAGTGTACCCCACAGCAGAATCACCAACCAGTGTACCCCACAGCAGAATCACCAACCCAGTGTACCCCACAGCGGGAATCACCAACCCAGTGTACCCCACAGCGGGAATCACCAACCCCGTGTACCCCACAGTGGGAATCACCAACCCAGCACACCCCACAGCAGAATCACCAACCCAGTGTACCCCAAAGTGGAATCACCAACCCAGTGTACCCCACAGTGGGAATCACCAGCCTAGCACACCCCACAGCGGAATCACCAACCCAGTGTACCCCACAGCGGGAATCACCAACCCAGCACACCCCACAGCGGGAATCACCAATCCAGTGTACCTACCCACTGTGGGAATCACCAACCCAGTGTACCTACCCACTGTGGGAATCACCAACCCAGTGTACCCCACAGCAGAATCACCAACCCAGTGTACCCCACAGCGGGAATCACCAACCCAGTGTACCCCACAGTGGAATCACCTACCCAGTGTACCCCACAGCAGAATCACCAACCCAGTGTACCCCACAGCAGAATCACCAACCCAGTGTACCCCACAGTGGAATCACCAACCCAGTGTACCCCACAGCGGAATCACCAATCCAGTGTACCCCACAGCGGAATCACCAACCCAGTGTACCCCACAGCGGAATCACCAACCCAGTGTACCCCACAGCGGAATCACCAACCCAGTGTA